CTTTAAAATAATTTATAAAATCAATTTAATTAATCAAAATATTTTTTTAATAATTTTAAAAAACTTGACATATTATACCTATCTATTACATGGTTAGAACACCGAGAAACATACATGCATTTTGAATCCTTATCGGTAATTTGAAACCGAAATGAACTTCCATCATAGTTTATACATATGACGTGCTATAACTAAATTTCAGACATTCAAAAATGAACTTATGAATTTTCGAAAGATGTATAGTACAGAAAAATTCCAAGAATTTAGTCAAAGATTAGTATAAGAAGGTCACACTCTAATCCCTCGATACCACTTGACACTAGTACTGTCCCATATAATTCAACCTCCAGGTTCCTTATTTATCATGAGATGTCTAATCCTAAATATCTGATAGGAAATGCAACCGTTGAGATTTGTATCAATTTAATCTTTTTTTTTAATTATATTATTTTTATAAATGTTCACTAATTTATTTTTCTTTTTTTATTAATTTTTAACAAGAAACTTATTAATCACTTTGGTGAAGTCTTTACAAGAATTAGACATAAAACCTTTTTTTTTGTTTTTTTTATAAAGAAATTGAATTTAATTTCACTTAAACTAATTACATGTTATTATTCTATATTTAAAATAGATCCGTAAAACGAATCCATCCCTCTGGGTTCATATCAGTAATGAATTGAATTTGCTCACGAATCCTAATTTATTTTAACAGCTTTAAATATTAAAATTAATATATGATATCTTTCATTAGAAACAATATAATATTTAAGTTAGATAAAATCACTGCTAATAACAAAATTTTATTCACAAATATTTAACATATAATTAAATATTAAAATCTTGACCTTTAAAATAACTAATAAATTAAATCAATTTTTTTTTGATAAGCATAAATTAAATCAATTTTAAGCCAGTTAATTTACGTACTTCACATTAATAAATCTTAAATTATCTCTTCCTTACATTTTTTAATTTATATATATTTATGCCATAATATCTCTTGTGAGCTTATTATTGATCATCATTGAAATTGACTTTTGTTTTAAATTGCTCTTCCAAATTGTTTTTATTTTTTTGAGTAATATATATCGTTAGTATGTTTGTGTTGCATTTTTATTAATTTGCATGTATTAAAATACGTAAAATTATAAAATAATTTCAAAATTAACATGTGATTGTTCAGAGTAATTCACAACTCTCTAATTTTGTACTTCAAGTAATTGGTGACAAGTGGCAATAATCTTGCTGTTGTTACCCCTGGGTCCAAGTAATTACTCGGTAAAAATCATGAATTTAAAAATGAACAACAAAAAGAAAAAATCTCGAAGTAAACTTTTTTAAAAGTATGTTTAGAATAAAATAAAAAATTTTAAAATAAAAAGAGATTCTTTATAACCTAAAATTAATTTATACATAAATAAAAATAAAATTTCAGAAAAACTAATAGAAAAAAGCTTTTACAAATTAATTTATATGTAATCTAATTTTAGTTTATAGAAAATTTTATTTAATTTTTCTTTCCGAAAATGCTCAAGAAAAAAATTACAAAAACATGAAAGAAAAAAAAATTATTTAGAGAGTCAAATTAAAACTCACATTCATGCTATGGGATCAAGTACTATTTTTTATTTTATTTTATAGACATTTAGAAAGGACATTAAATTTAAATAGCTTGACGTACTTTTCTTTGATTACAATAATGTTTTCACATTAGAAACGCTACTAAAATGGTTCCATTAAATGTCATGTTTGGCATAACGTTTTCGAGTTGTGGATCGTGTTTAGACATGACAATTTATGGGTAATTGTCCGAACTTGTCCTGATTTGGACGAAAAAATTTGTATTTGTCGGGTTTGAGTTCGGGTTCAGATTTTTCTCGATTTATAAAATCAGGGATGGGGCGGTGTGTCCCGCTTAATAATATAATTAAAAAATTATTTATATATATATATAAACCAAAATTAAAAATATTTATATATAAAAATTTATATTATTTTACTTTTTTTTTTATTTTTTTAAAATTGTTTATATTTATTTTAAAAAAAAAAGAAGAAAAAAAAAATAGGAGCAAGAGCGGGGTGGGAGCGGGGGCGGGGTGGGAGCGGGGGCGGGGCGGGAAAACCCGAACTCCGCCGCGGACAGGAATGTGGACCTAGATTTTACCCAGGCAGGTATCTGGAGCGGAGCAAGGATAGTTTAAATTTGCGAGGACGGGACAGGGAACGTAAAGCCCCGCCCTACCCCGTTACCATGCTTGATCGTGTTTTAAATCACACTTGTATTCGGCTGTTTCATGAATCTTGAACAAGATTATTTTTCAAATATTTTATAGAAAAACAAATTTAAATATATTTTTAATTTGATCTCATGTATAAATAAGAGCCAAAATTAATACAATAAATAAAAAATAGAAATGTGTGATTATCGATTTCGAACGTTGTAGTAGTTGAAGTGACTGTAGATGGAGATGGAAGTATGAAGAAGCGCGTGAAAGGGAGGCGCGTGAATATGTGGCGCCCCCACAAACAGTGCATCATTTTGACTTTAAGAGCTTTTGGTGCAAATGACCAACTTCTCCAACACTCCTTCTTTATCTTTACCATCTTTCAATCATACCATGCAAACACCATACTCTCTATTTTTAATTCCGGTAGATACACTTCTATTCCAAATTAAATATGTTAGATATGTAAAGATATTGTTGCCTTATGTTAAATGTAATTTTAATCACCAATTCTGATTTGTGTTCAAAGTAAATTAGTATTATTTGATAATGTCACAATTTAACAACCCAAAAATATTTTAAGAAAGTTTTGGTCTCTTTATTTTAATATAGAAAATAAAAATATTTATTTTTTAAAATATAAAATTTTGGTATCAAATTAATTTATTGATAGTTAAATTTTAACGTTTACTTATATTTAAGTAATATGATATTTACTAACATAATATTTAGAAATAAAAAATTTAAAAAATATACAATTTTTTTCATTAATGAGATAATTATCAATTACCCGTTAAAATAGATATAAATTAAAAAAAATTATATTTTTTTATACATGTATATTATACAACTAAATATCGCATGATTTAAGTGATGACAAATTATCGGATAATATCAAAATTTAACAATTAATAAATATTAAATTTATAGAAAAATTAAAACTTTATATTTTATAAAATATGAAAATTAAATATTTCTATTTTAAAATACAAAAAATTAAAATTACAAATAAATAAAAATAGAAGAATAAAAACACAAATTAACTTTTAAAATATGTCAACACTCAATTGCACAAAAAAATATCTAAGGTAATACACTTGTATTTAATTTTTATTAGCATGAAAAAAATGTATAATGTATTATTACACTATTTTGTTTTAGTAACTATTATTACACTATTTAATAAGACTAATAATATATATTATAATAGTAGTAATTCATCTCTCCATATATATATTATAAATATTTAACTTATGTATTTTACGTACTTAAAATGTTACTAATGTTTAATTTTTTTTTAAACTCTTAAAGTTATAAGGTATTATGAATTTAATTTTAATTATTTTTTCCATAAATAAATCATGATATCTCATTCAATTATTCAAAACGAGAAAAAACATATGTAATCTATCATCTTTTATTAATTTAATAAATTTAAGTATTAAATATACATTTATTCACAATAATTTTTTATGAATTAAATTTTTGTTAAAATATTTTATTTTAATCTCTATAATTTTATTAACTTAATTTTTAGGTCAGACGAAAAAATAAAGTTTATAAAATTATAAAGATAAAGTTAATACTTAAACTTAAATTTAGTTATAGTAAATATGTTTTATAATATCATTAAATTATAAATTATTATGTATAATAAATTTATAAATTTATAATAACTGTTTTAAAAATTATAATTAATTAATGACAATGTATACAACTAAAAAAATATATTATCATCTTATGACAAATTATTACTTGTAAAAAAATTATTCATTTTATTTTGTAAGATTTACTTTAAAGTTCACATATATATTGATTTTTTTATAGGAAATTTTGCATTCAAATCAATTTGACAAATTTATCATCCAAACTAAATTAATTAAATTTTTTTAATTGTTCTTTTCTTAATTTAAGCTTGACCTAAATTAAATTAAATGATATCTGTTGATTAATTCAGTTATCAGTTCAGGCATTTGAAACTGAAACCAACCTTAATCAAAGTAACTATTAATGTATTATTATTTTTTATCGGATAATTTAGTTTGTGTAATTGAACAATTAGGTGTATGTTGATAAATTTGACTTTATTAAACAACTTTTGATATATGTTAAACACTTTTAGTTAATTTTCTTTTTATTATTATAATTTTAATATAGTATGATTTATTAAATTATTCACGTGTCATTATTTTTTTATATATAATTTATGCTATTATTTAATTAGCATAAGTTAATTACACTCAAACATAAAATTTACATTTTTATAATAATATTATGTCAATTTTAAGATAAAATCATATTTATTTTTATTTTTAAAATATTTATTTTTAATTAAATATATGATGATCCCAATTAACCCATTAATTAAACATCAAATTAATTTGGTTTGTTTTGCTCAAACAAATTATAAAAATTGAATCAAATCCTAAACCATAATCCAATTTGATTTTGATTTCATTTTTCATCAAACTAATTTGGCATGGGAACTCCCTTACTTTCCGATTAATTTATAGTGTAAAAACTTTTTCATAAGATTAAACTCCTGTAGAATAAATTTAAAATTATGAAAGTATTGAATGGTAACTTTACATAAAATGAAAGTTTATTGTAATATAATTATTGTGAAGAACATGGTTGGGGCGTGGCAAAGTGCATAATGATAGAGGAAGTGACTGAAAATAAGATAGATGCATGCGGTCAAAGAAAACGACAAGAAGGTGGGACCCAGGCACTAATGATAATGCCAATGGTATTCGTGTCGTCTAGTGCAAACACAGATTATTCTCTTTCTCTATAATCTAATCTCACACTTTGATTTCCTTTGCATCATTCCAACACCAATTTTCATCTCTTATCTTAAGCACTTCACTCTGTTTCCCTCAGCTATATATATAAATAGGTATGTGCCTACAATATATATGTATTTTTTATTTATTTTCTCATATCTTCTGCCTAGATTGGAAACTCTTTCATTTTTTATTTCTTTAGCATATGTATGTAGCTTACTGCTACCATGCCATATATATTATTATTTCCTCATTTTATTTTATACCTGCCCCAATCCATAGTCAAGGGATCGGATCATTTCAGTGAAGAAAATGAAATATAATTTAATAGTCTGATGGAGTATGGACTTGCTCATAAAAATATGGATTTGCAGAAGTTTTTTCTTTTCTTTCTGGAAGAGTTTAAAGTTAAATATTTTTTTTATTATTTTTATTTGTGAGGGGGAGGGACTTACTGAGTAACACAGCGGTTGTGTTGAATTTTATTATTTTTTGAAATTTCAACCTTGTTTTGGGTATTTAATTTATTTGAGGTTTTTGGTTTTCTCCCAATGATGTGCTTTCCTCACCCTGTGATAGTTGAGGGGTCAGATTCAATAGCATCATTTTCTGACCCTGAGTGATGAAGAAGTAGGAAGAGATCAATAGTTGAAACAGAATCTACAGTACAAGCACCCTTCAACAAAATGAAAGGCCCCAAAGACTGTTAACTGAAGCCCCCACAACTGAGTCTCAGGATCAAACAACTGCAACACAAGATACAGCAAGAAGGTAACAAGAAATTCCTACTAGACTTTCACCATGAGAGTGGGAACATTTTGCTCAAATTGTTTTATGCATTCAATCTAGGATAGAGAAATCTTAATGATACACTCTTCATTTGGATAACTTTTTTATGTTTATTAGAAATTACAAAATCATGAGTCCGTTAAATGAGAAGACTGACAAAATTTTATTTTATTTTTAATAAATTTTAGTTAATAATGGTGTATTTAAGATAATATATCAGAAAATGTGTTACTAGCATATATCAGTGGCGATGTATGTGTCATAATTGCAATTGCATGAGATTAGTGTGCTTCTGTAGGAACAAGAAATTGAAAAATAGTGGCATTATTGAGGCAATGTTACTATAGTTTTTCTGAAGCTCTTGGGAATCATCAGTAAACCATATTATCTTTCCAACCAGAAAGAAAAGATCAAGGAGATGGTTTTCTGTTTGCTTTGATAATTAAATGAACACTTAATGATAGAGAGGTCTTGAGTAGGATGAGCTACCCTTGAGGTTTGTGTGTAACAGCAGAAAGATTTAGATGCAATAGGAGTGTTGTTCGGCTTTTATCTAATGTTCCATCCAGGACGTACAATGGTAACTGCCAAGGAACCATTTTAAATTTTTACATAAATGAAAGCACTAGAAAGGGCTCATTATCTCATATATATATATGTAGAATACCTTGTAAAGTGTAAGCCTTATACTACTGATTGCTGGACATGGGTGCAAAATCTGAATTCATCATTTCCCCTTTCATAGATAAAGAGTACACAGCCTACAAGAGGATTATGAATTTGTTAAATTCCTACTAACAGGAAAGTGGGGGAGTTAATTTGACAATAATAATACAGTGAGATTAAAAGTTCAACCAATTGTGCATAAGAGTGGTAAAAGAGTGGCAAAAGAATCTTCCAGTGGGCTAGTTAGGGATGACCCTAAATCCATATTCTCAATGTTTATGAAAAAACAAATGTCAGTCCCTTAAATATATGTTATATTTTTTAAGATTAGTCCATAGTTACCTTGGGTTTACCCAAAAAAGAAAATCCGTGGATAACAAAATAGCATTAAAGCATGACAAATGTTATTAAATGGGGGAAACTTGGTTACTTTATTTTTTATACCAAGTTTTTGTTGGAACCAATATATAAATTAAGCATTTGTTGAGTTTTCACTTTATGGTTTTGAAACTGCAAAAGCACTGGCTTCCAATTAATGTGAAAGAAAGTTGTTTGAGCATTGTTGCTTTTATTTTGAGGTAGCGCAAGAACCTTAACACTTACGAGTTTCAATTTTATGGGGCTTCACCATGGATGAGATTCATTCAATATTCATGAATTAATCTGCTAAATAAACGGGTAAGGAATATCTATTTGAGAACAAGAATGAAAATTGAAAATGAAACCTATTTGACTGATGAAGCAAGAGAGGAATTATCTGTAAATTGGAATTTATCAATTTGTGGAAAGGTCAACTCTTCCAAATTAATTAATATATTTCTTTCATGGTAGCAACCAATACTCTTGTTATCCCAATGTCCGTACAGTGGCTTCTGATCATGTCTACTTTTAGCATAAGATGACCCTTGTATATGTATATATATAGAAAAATTAATCATCGAGTCTAATAAGGGTGTAGACACTTGTTTGTTTTGTGCTTAAAACTGGTTTCTGTATATATATATCATTTGCAAGGGATATGGTGAGACAAGGTGGTGGATGAAATTGATGATCATGGTAATATATCATAACACTTTCAGTTCATTCTTGAACAACACCAATATGTTGGAAAGATCACAGGTAGCTTTCTGGATCTGGAAATCTGATCATGCTAATTACTCAATAAACAAATGGTAGCTTATTCACATTTATGAAGTTATGTCTTATAGCTAGGCTGAGTATTTAGCTTTTACATCTGTTGTACATGCATGATGGCTATGACATAATTTGTTGACATTTAAACCTATCAGATTTCAGTGTTGATAATACAATTCACGCTGTTAGGTTGTGTTGCTGCTGCCTTTAGTTATGCAGGTTTTAAATTTTCTGCTGGTTAGGATTTCTAATTTCTGTTGTTACCTTAATTTTATGAAGAAGTTGGATTATCTTTTGATAATATTTGGTTTCACAGCACGTTATATGCTTTGTGGCATGGTAAAGTCATACTTCTTAATTTTTTTTTATCAATACTTTTGTTAATTAACATTGTATTTTAAAAAGTTACAATCTTAAAAACGTGAACATAGATACTTAAATATACATAGGAGATATTTCTGTAAGAATGAAAAAAACAAATAAATATTGACTATTAAATCTTATTATGAATAGCCAAGATTAAAACACAATTTATGTAACTCTTAAATGATCATTTGATATTAAGAAACTGTTCATTTTCATCATCTATATATTATATAACTTAGATTTGTGACATATTGTGACAGGTATGAGCTACAATATATGTGACATCTCCAGGATCATTTTTCCTTATTCTAAGTTTTAATGTGAGTGACAAATAGCTTGCCTTTGAGCATCTTACTATTGACTTTATCACTATCAGATTTAGAACTTTATGTAAACTCTTTATTTTATGAAGTCTAAAAGACGATAGTAGGCGTTTAAAATTGGCCATCAATAAAGCTGAATTGAAAATGAGATAAATTACATAGCAACATATACTCGTTTACATTAATATGACCATATTAATCCCTTGAAAAGAAATATTGTAAATGATAACAATAAAAAGTATTATAGCTTAAACATCTATGAAAAAAAAAATAAAAGATTGTAATTTTTGTCATATATCCTTGACAAATAATCAAATACTAATTTTTTGTGAAATATAAAAATTATCAAAATAAATCATGTTTCTTTCAGCGAAGTCTTTTTTAATTATAGGGTTAAAAATCAAACATCTAACAACATGTCTAAATACTTAACTATCTGTCATCTTGATGGCATAAAAGAGTGTATTTACATATTGAAACATAGTCATTCCAAGTAATACAGAAGAAAAAGAGTTCTTACAAATTACGATTTACAAATCCCTAAAAGTAAAAGGGTGAGAAAAGTAGGAGTGGTTATACAGCTCCCAAAATGGGACACAAGTAGGAAGAAGTTGTAAGCTAAAATGGGCCTATAGACAAGACAAGGTTCCCTACTTCTTTTCACCGTACGTCTCTACTTTTCTTACTTTACATACAGTAATTTTTTGGTACCTTTGTACACTCCACTTTAGTATTAAACATGTTTAAGATTGTGTATGTGAGCACATGATAATTAAAATGCAATTAACAATCTCCATAAACAAACAAACGAGACACCGAAACCCAAGAAAAGTAAGATTCACATTAGCTTCGATATCTGTCTCAACCTACCATTCCAATTCACTTCTTTATTCAGTTTTTTTTTCTGAGCCAGCTTGTGTTGTCTGCTGCACAAAAGCCTCATGAACATCGTTTATAATATATTAATAGTGAAAGATTTTTTTACACCCGAATTTAATCATTAATTAAATATCATTTACTTTTGTAGTAATTACTTTAAGTTAGAATAATGTCTAACTAGTTGGTAGGATATAGATGAGTGTTTTAATTATAGTTAAACTATTAATTTCTCTCAAAAGTAACATTGAGTTATTGTTTTCATTTGTGTCTGGTGATCACTTTCAGGTTCACTGTTTGATTCAGATCGTACTAAAGCAGAATATGTAGTTGTGACATGTTATGGTGTCAGGTGTGTGTTGTTGCACTTGCAGCAGTTAATTTTACGTGTGAAAAATTAAGAATGAAGGTAACATTACGCTAGGATCACAATGATTGGTGTTTCAGAAACATGAGAGCACCGTTAGAATTGTAGCATAGCGTAAGCTGGGAAAGCTAAGTCATGCTCAAATTTTCATTTCAAATCTTAAAAATATTTATTCATGATTTTTTTTGTTTCATTTTTACTTTATTTTCATTCTTTCTCTATTAAATTGAAGATGGATGAATGTATAGATACATTTATCCTTTTCATTCAAGGCCTCAATGAAAGATCTCATATGGAAGATAGTTTGTGGAGTAGGATTAATTTCTCCCTATAGATCTGCATACAAAGAAATATTTAAACATTTCGGGATCAAATTATCTAACATCTTCTGTTTATTTAAATAGTACAAAGTACAAACGTTCATCTAATTTAGCCTTCTAATGGGAAAAGAAGCAAAAAGAACAATATTCAACGTGTTGTTTTCCGTGCTACCTAGTGCTTATTGCAAACTAACTACTTGACTGATTAAAAAAGAGAGATAAAGAGATACTAAACCTTAAACCCTAAGGGTGTGTTGGGTTTAGGGAAGAAAGTAAAAAAAAAAAAAGAAAAAAAAAAAAAAGAAAAAAAAAAAAAAGAAAAAAAAAAAAAAGAAAAAAAAAAAAAAGAAAAAAAAAAAAAAGAAGAAAAAATAGAAAGTGAATTAATTTTATATGGTATAGAAGAAAAACAAAGAAATATTATATAAAGAAAAAAAAATAAAAAAAGGAAGTCTATTCTTTTTCCTCTAGTTTGATTGTATAGAAAGTAAAAAATGATTTTGTAAGTTATTTGATAAGGAAAAAGGAAGTTTTTTCCCCTCATATTTGTTTGTGAAAGAATTTTTTAAAAAAAGTATATAAATAACAAATATTTCTAATATTGTTTTCTTACAAAAATAAAAAAGTAATTCTTCATTTATTTTTATTATTTAAGCTACCTTTTTCTCACGTTTCTGTCCAAAATCAGATGAATTATTATTGTGTATGAATTCTTCTATTTTTTCCTTTATTTTCTTTTTAAAAGATTCCAAACAATATTGGAAGACATAAAAGGCTTGTTTGACGACAAACCTCGGTCCAATAAAAAAGTTAAGCTACCATTTTCAAGTACTGATATGTGAAAGCGATAACGAGTCCATTTTACAGTCCAACCTAATTTGTAAAATATGCTCGGCTCATGGAATGCACATTTAAAATGAGTGCTGTTTATAATCCACAAAATGATTTTTCTTTTTTAATACTACAATTTACGAACGTCCTTTTCTTCTAAGTTTTTGTTCAAGTAAGTTAACATTGTTGTTGACTTTTGAATTAATAAAGAATTTAATTATAATTCATCAATAATGTAAAAAAATCATATTATTCAACTATAAATTGAGATATATAATGAGATTGTTGAATTCTACAAGAATTATTTTAGAAGTTCTATCTCAAATGGTTTTTAATTAATTAGCAGTATAAAAATATTTATATGGACAATGTATAAAATTAAACTTGTACAGGTAGGGAAGTTCGACCACCACCCCATCGGCCGCCGAATGGCAGAACCAGGAAGCCGAATGCCAATCGGCCACCAGGATCGGCCTACCATCATTTGGCACTATTAATCAAAGATTAGAGGTTAATTAGTCGATTAAGGTGTATTACCTAATACGGTAAATATGTCGCAGGGCCCATGGGGTCCAAGGCCCATAAATGTCAGTATAAATAGCTCAGGACAATTATAATTAATGAACAGTGACGTTACCTTTTATCCTGAGCTATTTATACTGACATTGATGGGCCCTGGACCCCATGGGCCCTGCGACATATTTACCGTATTAGGTAATACACCTTAATCGACTAATTAACCTCTAATCTTTGATTAAGAGTGCCAAATGATGGTAGGCCGATCCTGGTGGCCAATTGGCATTCGGCTTCCTAGTTCTGCCATTCGGCGGCCGATGGGGTGGTGGCCGAACCCCCTACCTGTACACTGCCCCCCAGCCTTGAGGAAAGGTGAAGCTTTCTTTAAGGGTAAAATGGAGACAGTTGCTAGGGTAAGGTGAATGGTTGCATGCCTCTAACCGTTGGATTTCGGGGATCGAACGGTTACATTTTTTCAAAACTTGAATTTTTTCCCGCCCGTTTTATGAGCTTATAAATATCTGATTGGTAGGGCCATTCACACGTATTGCTCTCAACCGAATTGTGGTAGCAGAAGGTCTGAAGCCGATCCGACTAACGATTGTGGTTCTGTGAAGAAATTGGTAAGTTTTTATCGCTATGGTTAATACTTTTGAAAGTTCTTCGGCCAGTAGCTCTCGGTCATCGTCGTCGGAGGGGGCCTCGTTCGGTAGTTCGAGCTTTTCTAGTGTGGTTCGGTCTTCAGATCATGCTGAAAGGCCGAATGAGACTACTTCGGAGGAAACTTCTACTAGCGGGGTTGCCGAGGTACAGGGGAAGTTGAAACGCGTGTCGAATCGGCAACGGTATGGTCCGTCCGAGGTGCCTGGCTACGAGTGGGTGAACAGGGAGGTGACCTCCTACTATTCACGGTACCAAGACACAAGCATGATCACCAACCTTCTAGATTATACAAATTGCTTAACTTTTAATGCTAAGGAGAATCCGTACCCGATCGGTATTCGGTCGTGCCGAAACAATGCCTTTCCGAACCCTGATACCGTTTGTCTTGATCAAAGTGGGGCGAAAATGGAATCGTTCTACATATATGATTGTCTCCTTCGGGATCTCAAAGTAAAACTACCTTTTGATGAGTTTACTATGGGAGTGTTGAGGGTTCTCAATGTTGCCCCAACCCAATTACATCCGAACAGCTGGGCTCAACTGCAGGGTTTCAAGCACTTGTGCCGATGTATTCACATTAGGCCTTCCCCACTGCTCTTTCTTTATTTCTACTCGTCCAGACCCTCCATATTGGCCAAGTGGTTGTCATTGAGCCGAGTAGGGGAAAGACAATTGTTGGATAGCTTTACATCTTCCTATAAGAATTTCAAAGCGGGATTTTTTCGAGTGACCATTCGTCCGAATGGGAGACGTTTCTTTTTTGGTGAGGATAACAGAAGCTTGTTTCCTCTATACTGGACACGTGCCCCTCGGCCATACGATGTAGTACCGAAGAGTCTTCTTTCGGCTGAAGAACGGAAAGATTTAAAACTGTTACTCCGCCTTCCTCGGCGCTTGCCGACCCGATCTCTAATTAACTTGGTTGAGTCTCCCCTATGGGAGAACGACCTGATAGGTACGTTATCCATCCTATTTCGGCTATTGGCTAAATTCCTATTGATGTTTACTTTATCTTGTTGTAGGAATTATGGTGTCCAGTGGAGCTGACGAACTTAACATCCACAACTTGTTGGCCGTTAGAGTGAAGCAGGTTAAGCAAGTCGGGGGTGTTGGTACTTCGAATGTTGCGCGCACTCCCCAACGTGAGCAAGATAACCGAGAGCTTCCTTCGCCCGAACGAAAAAAGAAGAAGGGGAGGAAGGGGAAAGAGGTTGATCGGTGCCCGAGGCATCACCCAATCGGACCGTGATTGTGGTGCCGCCCCAACTAATGTCTCGGGCTTTTCTGAGTGATGATGTATCGGCCGATACCCTGATTCGGTCCGATGCAGTGTCACCGTTCGGGCAGGAGTTCTTGGCCGGCCTGGAGACGAGAACCAAGTGGAGACTTTTCTGCGAGATGCAAGGGTGTTCGTTGGCCTTGGCTCATCACCTAGCCATGGAGCTTGTCGGCGAGGTGATGCATCTGAAACAAAGTCTCGAAGAAGCCGAGAAGGCCACAGCCGAAGCTATTTCGGTCACCGAACAAGCAACAGCCAGAAATCGCGAGTTGGCTGCCGAACTGGATTCTGTTAGGCGGGAGAATGAAACTCTTCGCCTGGATCTACAAAAGGCAATCAATGAAGAGCGCCGCCGAGCAGAGATCGCCCAAGCTGAATACAACCGCCTGAAAGAGCAGGCTAAGGAGAAGATCGTCGCTCAGCACGAGGCTGGATTTAAACATGTTGTTCGGCAGGCAAAGCACTTCGGCCAATTCCCAGAGGACTTTGAATTCGACATGACCCAGGATTTTTATCAAGGGTCATTTATGTCCTTTGCTGAGATGCCCGAGGGGGCGAACCCTGATGACTCGGAGCCGGGAGCTGCCCCCCAGCCGGAAGGAGATGCTGACGCTTCGTCTGGTGAAGAGGAAGATGAAGAACATGCCAATCCCGAGCCAGAAGGGGAAACTGAGACTCATGCTCAGGATGACACGGTCAGAAATTCGGAGGAGTAGTGTTGATATTTTACAAGGTTTTTTGTAACAAGGGGAGCCGATAGAGCCTCCATTTTTTTAATTTTTGTAGCAAGGGGGCCGATAGAGCCTCCACTTTTGAATGAAATGGCACTTTCTATTGAATCATGTGGTGTATTTTTGAATCAATGCTAATTCGGATCGTCTCTCTTAACTTAAAAACTTAAAACGAATTTATTCCAAGAATGTTTTATATAAACTGTTCCGAAAGAATTGTCGAAAACCGAGTGGAGGTTACTCGAAAATGCTTTGATTTCCTAGCAAAATCGAGTGGGCGTCATTCGGGAATGCTTTGGCAGTCATAGCAAACCGAGTAGAGGTCACTCGAAAATGCCTTGATTTCTTAGCAAAACCGAGTGGATGTCACTCGAAAATGTCTTGATTTTTTAACAAAACCGAATGGGGGTCACTCGGAAATGCTTATAGCAAAATCGAGTGGAGGTTACTCGGAAATGCTTTGATTTCTTAGCAAAACCGAGTGGGGGTCACTCGGGAATGCTTGTCATTCTAGCAAAACCGAGTGGAGGTTACTCGAAAGTGCTTTGATTTCTTAGCAAAACCGAGTAGAGGTTACTCGGAAATGCTTTGATTTCTTAGCAAAACCGAGTGGGGGTCACTCGGGAATGCTTGTCATTCTAACAAAACCGAATGGAGGTTACTCGGAAGTGCTTTGATTTCTTAGCAAAACCGAGTGGGGGTCACTCGGGAATGCTTCGCATTCTAGCAAAACCGAATGGAGGTTACTCGGAAGTGCTTTGATTTCTTAGCAAAACCGAGTGGGGGTCACTCGAGAATGCTTCGCATTCTAGCAAAACCGAGTGGAGGTTGTTCGGAAACGTCTTGATTTCCTATCAAAATCGAGTGGGGGGTCACTCGGGAATGCTTGGCATTCTAGCAAAACCGAGTGGAGGTTACTCGGAAGTGCTTTGATTTCTTAGCAAAACCGAGTGGGAGTCACTCGGGAATGCTTTGATTTCTTCGTTGGCCGAGTTAAGCAATTCGATAGAGAATCCTTTTTGACATTTGTGAAGATGCATCTTTGGCCGAGGTGATCGATTCGAGAGAAAATCCTTTTTAATAACTTGAAGGTACGTCCTTGGCCGAGCTGATTACCTCGGGAGGGAAACCTTTTAAATGATTGCGAAGGTACATCCTTCGCCGAGTTGATCAACTCGGGAGGGAAACCTTTATGATTTATAAGGTACATCCTTGGCCGAGTTGATTAACTCGGGAGGGAAACCTTTTATATTACTTGTAAGGTACATCCTTGGCTGAGTTGATTAACTCGGGAGGGAAACCTTTTATATTTTGTAAGGTACTTCCTTGGCCGAGTTGACTAACTCGGGAGGGAAACCTTTTATGATTGTGAACAAGTAGATGAGTAAGAATAAGATGAATTACTTTTCATTGATATGTGCCTCGTTAAAAACCTTGTCGGCCAAAACCCCTTTTCACTTTTTTATAAGGGGAGAAAAGACCGATCAAGGAAAAGAGTGCACTCTGATTACATTGTTACTTGTTACAAAATTCAACTATAATATGCTTTTAAATGGGACGCGTTCCATGTTCTGGGGATGACTTTTCCCGAGAGCTCTTCAAGCTTGTATGCACCGTTGTTGAGGCTGTGGCGGACTCGAAACGGGCCATCCCAATTCGCCGCCAATTTGCCTTCTTTCGGATTACGTCTTGCCGATCCTTGCACTCTCAACACCAAGTCTCCCTCTTTGAAATTTCTTCTAATGAGATTGGAATTGAATCTTCGAGTCATTCTCAGCTTGCATGCTTCGGCAATGATCTGAGCCTTAGCTCGTACCTCATCAACCAAATCAACTTCTACCCGTAAGGATGCATTGTTGGAGAGCTCATTGAAATGTGTTCGGCGGAAAGAGGGTTCTCCGACTTCTACAGGTATCATCGCATCGGCACCATATGTCAATCGGAAGGGGGTCTCCTGTGTGGTGGATTGAGGAGTGAAACGATACGCCCATAATACTTCGGGAAGCTCATCGGCCCATGCTCCCTTGGCTGTCCCTAAGCGTTTTTTCAATTTCGAGAGAATGACTTTGTTAGCCGCTTCAGCTTGGCCATTTTCTTGTTGATGCTCAACCGATGTGAATCGGTGTTTGATCCCCAAATCCTGAAGGAACTTGTTGAGCTTCTGATCCACGAACTGAAGTCCGTTATCTGTTATAATGGCATGAGAAATGCCGAAACGTGTGATGACATTCTTCTAGAGGAACTTCTGAACGTTGTTCGCGGTAATTGTTGCAAGAGGTTCGGCTTCGATCCACTTGGTAAAATAATCAACCGCAACTAGAAGAAACTTGCATTGCCCTTTGGCCAGTGGAAACGGTCCCAATATATCCATTCCCCACATCGCGAACGGCCATGGAGAAGTGATGTTATGTAGCTGCTCAGCTGATGCATGTATCAAATTTCCATGCTTCTGGCACTGAATACATTTTTTGACGAACTCCATGCAATCAGATTTGAGTGTCGGCCAATAATAGCCGGCTCGCAGAACCTTTGCCGCTAAAGTCCTCCCTCCTGAATGAGAACCGCAGATGCCCTCATGCACTTCCCTTAGCACGTAATTAGCCTCTTCTGAGTTTAAACACTTGAGTAGGGGAGACGAGACACCTCTTCGGAAAAGCTCCCCTCCTATAACAGAATACCTCGCTGCCTGGGTTCTCAACTTTCTGGCTGCCGAAGGGCATGTCGGCTCGACACCTTCAATGATCAATCGTAGTATATCGGTCATCCATGTTGTTGGCTGCTCGACGACTGTTAAACATTCAACTGCTTCGACACTTGGGGTTGAGATTTCCAAGTGAAGAGTTGTTCGAAGCTGTCCCGGTTTCCGATTGCTTGTCGCCAATTTGGCCAATTGATCGGCTCTGTCATTGTTTTCGCGGGGAGTATGTTTCACCACCACTTGCTCAAAATGTTGACACATGTTTTGGAAGGTGTGATAGTATTTCAACAGTTGCGCATCTTTAACCTGAAAGTTCTCGTTCACCTGTTCCGAAACGACTTTTGAATCGGTCCAACATAGCAGTTTCTGAACACCCACTTCCCAAGCCAACCTCAATCCAGCCAATAACGCCTCGTATTCGGCTTGATTATTCGAGGCTTTGAAAGCGAAGCGAAGAGATTGTTCAAGTGCCAAGCCTGTCGGTCCCTCGAGAATTATTCCAGCCCCACTGCCCTGGTTGTTAGACGAATCGTCGACACGAAGTGTCCACTGATCACTTTCAAAATGACCTACTGGTTGCAACTCATTAACGAAGTCGACCAAACATTGAGATTTGATCGGGCCTCTAGGTTCAAATGCTATGTCAGATTCGGATAATTCTATGGACCAAGCCATCATCCGTCCTGCTAGCTCGGGTTTTCGTAGGACTTTGGCAATTGGACAGTCAGTCCGAACGATAACCCTATGGCTGTGAAAATATTGCCGAAGTCGTCGCGCTATATGGACCAAGCCGAGGGCCATCTTCTCAAGAAGTTGGTATCTTCTTTTGGCGTCTTGTAGCATTCGACTCACAAAGTACACCGGTTTTTGGGATTCTTTCTCTTGCACAAGGACCGCGCTGATCGCTTCATTGGAGACGCACAAGTAGACGATCATGTCAAGACCTGGGTCGAGTTTTGAGAGTATGGGAGGTGTGCCGAGTCGCTGTTTGAGGGATAGGAACAATTCTTCACATTCCGCTGTCCATACAAACTTGCTAGCCTTTTTCAACAATCTAACGATGAGTTTTGTTACCTTTGCAAGGCAAGGAAGGAATCGAGAGAGGGATGTAAGTCGTCCGGATAAAACTTGAACTTCCTTAATGCTATTCGGGCTTCGTATGCCAATCACCGACTGACATTTATCCGGATTGGCTTCAATACCTCTAGTGGATAGCATAAATCCGAGAAATTTTCCTCCCGCTATGCCGAAGACACATTTTTCAGGGTTCAGCCGCATGTCGTGCTTTCGGAGCTGTTTGAAAACCTCGACAAGATCACTTTTGTGGGTGTAAAGGTCATCTGATTTAACTACCATATCGTCAACATAAACCTCTAAATTCTTGCTGATCTGATGCCTAAAGATTTTGTCCATAAGCCGCTGGTACGTTGCTCCTGCGTTTTTCAATCCAAACGACATTACCCGATAGCAATAATTTGTCGAGTCAGTGATAAAGGCTGTCTTGTTTTCATCTTGTGGGTGCATGCGGATCTGATTGTAGCCCGAATAGGCATCCAAAAAGGTCAATAAACGATGTCCTGCTGCCCCATCTACCAATCGGTCAATGCTGGGTAACGGGTAGGCGTCCTTTGGACAAGCCTTATTAAGATTAGTGTAATCTGTACACATTCTCCATTTGCCGTTGGGTTTTTTGACCATGACTACATTTGCTAGCCAGGTGGTGTACTGCACTTCCCTAATGAAACGGGCTTGCAAGAGCTTGGCCACCTCCGATTCAACGACAGTTTTTCTCTCCGTTCCCATCTTCCTCTTCCGTTGTGCGATTGGTTTGGCATTCGGGCAAATTGACAATTTATGGCACATAAAGTTCAGATCGATTCCTGGCATGTCTGACGGCGTCCAGGCGAACAGATCCTTGTTCGATGCAATTACTTGGCTCAAGTCTAGCCTTTCGGTGTCTGTCAAATTGACACCGATGTATGTGACCTGGGATGGTTGTGATCCGATTTGTATTGGGACCTTTTCTTCTATTGGTTCAGCCCTTTCATCATTCATTCTTGGGTCGAGGTCACATTGTGAAGCCCATTCCGAGGAAGGAGTGACCGCATGAACTCTCCTGAACTTAGTCTGCTTCTCTTGCACAGGTTGTATACGTAAACTCGCAAAGTAGCATTCCCGAGCTGCCTTTTGGTCGGCATGTATCATGAGAATGCTTCCTTTGTCCGATGGGAACTTCATAGCCAGGTGAGGTGTTGACACAATCACCCCCAAAGCGTTCAATGATGGCCGACCTAGCAGTATGTTATAAGATGTGTTGGCTTGGACTACAATATATTTCACCTGGACATCTCGATGCTCTCCTTTGTCGAAGCAGAAGCGAGTAGAGAGTTTGATGGATCCCTTGGTGTCAACTCTTTCTCCTGCAAAGTCGACCAGTGGTTCAGTGTAAGGGGTCAACTCTTCTTCGGATATGCCGAGCTGTTTAAACGTGTTCCAATACAAAATGTCAGCCGAACTACCCTGATCTATGAGCTTGACAATACAATTACGTATCTCCACACTGATGACCATAGGATCATCCTGAATCGGATCAATGCCTTGGAAATCCTCGTCAGTAAATGTAATGGCGGGCAGTCGCCGAACCGACCGTCGTTCAATAGCGTTAACTGATCTGACAGCCCGTAGATGTCTCTTTTGAGCTGATGAATTTGATCTGCCCCCTGTGAAACCTCCGGCAATCGTGTTGATTACCCGCCAGTGTGTCGTATGAGGTTCTTCTTTTCGCTCCCTTGACCGGCTACGTTCACGGCGGCGCTCACCTGATTGCTCGGGCCTATCTTGTCGGCGAGCTTGATACGCGGGTTGATGTCGAGATGAGTTTGGCCGATCCACGAAATTTCTGAGTTGCCCCTGTTTAATCAAATCCTCGATTTTATCTCTCAACGCTGCGCATTCTTCGGTAGAGTGCCCGCGGTTGCGATGATACCTGCACGATTTATTAGTGTCAGCACGGGGTGGAGTGGACGCCCTCTTCGGGACTGCCAACACTTCTGATGCCAAAGCTTGCTCAAGTACTGCGGCTCGGCTCGCATTAAGGGGAGTATAATGGGAATATTTCGGTCCTCGAGTGGGTCGGTCCCGAAGAGCTATCTCTTTACCGCGCCCCCTGTATGGTTGTTCTGCAGTCTTCTCGGGTTTTCCCCCTGGTTCGGCTCGGGCTTGGTTACGGAACTCAGCTAGCTCTTCCATCTGCATGTATTTATCGGCTCTCCTTCGTAGGTCATTCATATCCGAAGGAGGTTTTTTGCAGATGCTGTTAACAAACGGTCCGGGTTTCAAAGCTGTTGTGAGGTGGTGGAGCGCTACCGCCGGATTGAGATCCCGGATTTCTAAGGTTGCCTTGTTGAACCGTTCCATAAAAGCTCGGAGTGACTCCTTCTTGTCTTGCCGGAGGCCGACCAGCGACAGGGACGTCAAGCTGTGAGGACGACTTGTTGCAAACTGAATGGTGAACTAAGATGATAAAGTGTTAAACGAATCAATAGAATTGGGGGGGAGTCGAGTGAACCAGCTCAGAGCCCGGCCCTTAAGGGATGTTGGAAAGATCCGACACAACGCTGCGTCATCCGTTGTGCTTAGTGTTACCTGCGTTAGAAAAACATCCAAATGTTCATCAGGATCTGTTGTACCATCGTACTTGTCAATAAGTAAGGATTTCCAATTATTCATTAGGGGAAGTTGCATTATGGAGGGGGTGAAGGGTGTCGGTGCGATCCGATAGTTGTCAAATCTGCGGGTCGACCGGCAGTGGGTAAGGCCGAGGGGTGCTTTTCCGGTGCCACTTCCGAGGCATGAGGGCCCGAGGTATGGATCGTATGGGATTGATACGACCCTTGAGTTTGTGTATTTGTGGCCTGGGTAGGTTTTCATGAGGTATCTTGATTCCTTAACATCTCATTCTCAGCTCTCAAGGCCGAAAGCTCCCTAGCATCTTTTTCTCGCTGCTGTTTCATAGCTTTCCATTTCCTGTTTCAACAAACGAACGACTTTAGAAAGATCCGTTTCGTCCACAACCTCCACTTGTTCTTCCTCTTCCGCTTGATGGTCTTGTGTGTTTGTTCTTCTAGTTATCGCCATGATTGTATGTGGTTTGTCTTCCAACTTTCTTCGTTCGGCCCCACGGTGGGGCGCCAAATGTACCTGTTTGATGGGCACACTAAGTCTTCTGGTAGTCCAAAGACCGAACGAGAGCTCCGATCCAATGCGCTGGTGAAGGGGTTGGTACCTGCAAAAGGCACTCCAACGCTCAAGTCAGGACAAGCTCGAATATCTAGGATAATTAAAGAACAGTGACGTTACCTTTTGTCCCGAGCTATTTATACTGACATTTATGGGCCCTGGACCCCATGGACCCTGCGACATATTTACCGTATTAGGTAATACACCTTAATCGACTAATTAACCTCTAATATTTGATTAAGAGTACCAAATGATGGTAGGCCGATCCTGGTGGCCGATTGACATTCGGCTTCCTGGTTCTGCCATTCGATGGCCGATGAGGTGGTGGTCGAACCCCCCTGTACAAAACTCATTAACTACAATCCCTTGGACTTATTTAATAACTAAATTTGAATATTAAGATAATTTTTAATTAGTTTTTAAAGTTTGTCTATCCGTTTACTTATACTTTCAATTTATAATTCAAATCATATCCATCCAATATGTATAATAAAATAGAATCATCATTCTTAGAGAATGATGTAATATTTTATTATACTCATTTTTTTTGACTTGCGATTTTACTATTATATAAATATTTTTGCTTTTAAAAACTCTCAAATTATTGATTACTGTTTTTTTGCATTAAAAAATATTTTTCCTCCTTAACCTCAATTGCTTATATGATGAAAACAATTATTTATTGAATTTTTTTTCTCTTCTTAAATTAATCCAACTTTTTAACTAATAATAAAATAATTTATTCTTTACCCCCGCCGCCGACGAACTGAATTCGTATGCTCACATCACATTTCTTTCTGAAGGAAAAAGAAATATACAGGTAATAGGTAATAGGTAATAGGTAGTGGCAGACGGTCAAAATGGTGTCCATAAAGCTTATTCATGGCATTGCGTCTTTGTGTCCATAAAGCTTGTTTGCAGTTCAGTACAAACCCTAAGAATGCCACTGAACCAATCTACCTACACATAAGAATCAGATAGGTCAAAGTACGCGACAAGACAACATCCACAAAACATTGCAAAAGCAAAGCCCGACTTACGGGTGGAAGCACTTCAAATTATATTGGAAAGAAAATAAGCAACTGTTTGTTAGAAACTACTAAGAAAAATGTTAATGCCTAAACAAGAAGACAACAAAATGACCCATCGTTTGTTATTCCTTAAATTCTTTTGCTTTTGTTTCTTTCATTATTATTAGTAGTTCTTTACGCAATTTTACTTCAAAAAAGACATAAAAAGACGTTACTCCACTAAAACGAAAGGGGCAGAGTCGTACTCGTACATGTGGCACTTGCAGCTTGTATCCATCAACATCATTCAGCATTCTGATTCGCAAGGTTGTCTGTTATCAGAATCATCATGACTAAGGAAGAAACTGATCCGAAATAACTTAACACATCTCAATCGTTGAATTTGTAATAATAGATCCGATTATGACACGTGTACAAAATATATTTTAACTTAAATGTATACGTGTCACAATCTGATCTACTATTACAAATCCAATAGTTTAAATGTGTAAAGTTACCCTAACTTTTCCCCTCCAAAGTCAGGGATCTATTTCTCGAAGAAACTTAGAAGCAAAATTTTGGCAGGGCTATATTGCAGAGACAATTTTCCTTGTTTTAACTTGGCAGCAAAAATATTCATATCCATATATAGATGGACGGAAGTGGTCAGAACTCTACTATCAGAAGGGTTAGTGTTAAAAAGTAAAAACTGTCCACCGGTCCAAACAGGCTCTCAATTTTGTTGAGGTCACACATGAGAATGCTAGCAAATCTGCTTTGAAAATTTGTCTAAAACGTTAAACTTAGAAAAGAACTATTATTTTTTTTATTTATTACAAGCTAGAAAGAATAACTCTGGGCAAAAGTACACAGAAGGGTATGTCACATTCTTTTTAAAATTTATCCAACCGCACGTCAAAAGAAAGCAAGCTATTTACAGAAAGCTATATATGGAATATTGGAAACTACAATTTTTTTTCTTTTCTTTTCTTGAAAGTGCATGATCGAAAATCTTGCAAGAATCTTGATGGCAAATATTTATCTGTTCGTAGAGCGAGATGATCGGCTACTTGGGCTTGTGCCATTACCCCTAAACAGGGTCTCCAGGTTCTGGATGCATGCAGGAGCCCGAATCTGTGTATCCACAACAAAATATCACACCTTTGAAAATAAAGAACCACACATAGACTGTATTAAAATAACAATCAGAGTGTTTCGTTTAGTGGGTGAAAACCATGGCGGGTACAAAATTATGGTAAGTTCACCAAAAAAGTAACTATTTATTGCTTCAAAATTCACTGAAAGTTTAACTCATTACCAATTCAAACACATACTATACTGCACAATATCTGCACTTTTCTAAGTATGAGAGCATTCAACTAATCAGATGGATAAAAAGTCAGAAAGTCGTTATGAAATCCATACTATTAATCCTTTTTAATTTAATTAAAAATGGGACACGAAGCCCAAGAAAAGACCATGAAATCATACGCGCGAAACCAACTCCAAAAGATTATGGACAAAAATAAAATACTCCCATAGGTCGGTCATCTTTTGGAGTATTGTGAAGTGTGACTTGTGAATGAGACTTCGACGTGACAAAGCTCTTCCACTCTTTTTCAATCAACAAATATTAAAAAAGAAAAACCATCTGAATTTACTTCAAAATTCGTAATCTAGTTTGGTGTCCAAGTATGTAGCAATTATATTTTCAAGGATATATATAGATCATAATCGATTATATATACATAATCAATTATATAGACTCAATTAAAAAAAAATTACTGAAACCAACAATCTAATTGTAAAGGACATTTTTGCAAACTAATATATAAAACCATTTTAACTTATTTATTTAATTTAATATAAACCAATAAAAAATTAATCTTCCGTTTAATTCTTATCTACTTTTTTAATTCTTATCTACTTTTCTCCTATCAAACAACCTCTATTTTCACTTTATTTCTTGCTATTCTTCTTTTCTCTCTCCCCTTTTCCCTCCACTTCTTTCCACTTCCATTCTCACTACCACACAGTACCACAGTGTGAAGGGATTAATGGTGGAATGCAGAGGAATAAGATTCTTCCCACTATAGCAATCGCTCTTGAGGTGGCAACCACAGGTGCTCAATTGCTCATTGTCAATATCCAAAGATTCAGGGAAAGTCCTTAAAGCTTAAATTCACATATTCTGGTAATTTTTAGCATTTCAAATTACTTCTAAAAGTTAAAATTATACCACCACAACTAGGTCAAAAAATTGATAAAATAAATGTTCACATGAAAGAAGGATACCTTCCAGTGCCTCTTTTGAGCAAGATGGTAGCTGATGTCTTCCAATCTCCTAATTATTTCCCTAAATGTTGGTCTTCTGTATGGTAGTTCATCCCAGCATTCCTCGATTAACCTATGGACAAATATTTCGTGAATGTAAAAAAACTACCATTTTTATATACAACTTGTGGTAGGTTTTGAAACTAAACATGAAAACCATATATAAGTTGTGGTAGGTTTTAAAAACCCTCACTGTTTTAGTCCATAAGCATAAAGCTTTGGCAAAGCTCTAAATGGTGGACGCTCATTTTCAACATATGCTGTAGGAACATCATTTTCTGGCTTAGCATAAAATGGTGGACAACCTTCGATCATCTAGAGCAACAAAAAACCATATATAAGTTCCACTCAATATTTTGCTGGGCATCTCTACAAATAACAACACACTGCTGGATGTCAATCTGTATACTCAAGATTCAAAATTCCCCAATGCCCATGAATAAAATAAACATATCAAGAATTTCATCAGTAAAACAGTTAAACAAAATGTAAATTTTGTCTTTATATTAAAAAAACGCAAGAACCATGCAAAATATAGGTACAAGCAACAAACTGTGGCGAACTCACTCTAGAACTACTTGTCCATTAGATCAACGTGAAAAATATGCAAACATTATATTATGAACATATATTTAGGATCATCTGATGGATAAAAGCAGCCAGAGCTCACGAGTCTCGAGTGCTTGAGCTGTTCATAGACTCATCCGATACATACACTTGATAAGTGGTCTTATGTGTAAAAGAAACCATCAAACATCTAGAAGGTTACAATAATGAAGGAACTTGAATGATAAAAGAAACAAAGGGTCCAAAACAATAAATGATACACCTCTAAATGCATTCCTTTTCCTGGACTTGAAATTTTCTACTGATATGAATAATCCAAATGTATGTAGGATTCCATAACAATAAATGCTTTCAATTGCTCAAAATAAACAAGTTAAGAAAAAACACAAAACATAAAGTAAATTCTCATCCCATTGCTAAAGATTAGATCAGGTTATCACGGATGCTTCATGCTTCAGAAAGCAAATGCAATTGACAGCCTTCTAAAAGTTTTATGAGCTGAGATAAACAAAAAATAACCAGGATGGAGATTGGAGAGTGTTGAATTAGCATGTATTATTTAGTCAAAAATATCACAATAGTCTTCATCAAACAAGTTGTATATTTATTAATTAATTAATAAGTTTACGATTTAAAAACTTGTGTCAAGACCAGAGAAGAAACATCCATTCACATAATAAGGAAGGGTAAATAATTAACATAGAAGTCATTCAAAAGCTCTAAGTTCTAAAAGAAAATCTCCATGCATCCGAAGGTGAGAAAAAATGATTTTACCTCCTGTAATATGAGAGCAAATGAAAACACATCCACTTTTGTGTCATACTCCTCATTTCTATACACCTCTGGAGCTACATAACGCCCTGTTACATGTTCGAATAAGTTCATCAGTACAAACTACGAAATCAGAACCAATCACAATAGGATAAAAATCAAATCAGTTTAAATATAAGAGATGGCAATATTAACAAGTTATTTGCTAATTCAAATTAGCAAAATTGAGAGCCAGCTGACAAACTGTCTTTGGTCATGTGTAGAGTGTAGACAGCATCTCTTTTCTTTTTTTTTTCCTTGCAGAATATGCAATATATTTTACGATACACCCGTCAAGAAATAAAAGTTTAAAATATTGCTTTTATGCAGAACAACATGATTAACAATGAATATTACAAGGCTCCAATGAAGAAGAAAACTTACATGATGTATCCAGGCATGTCACGGGTTTGTCTTCTTTGACTGTTTTAGCAACTTTAAGCAACTTGCTAACTCCAAAGTCTGCAACTTTCAGATGCCCAGAATCATCCCGCAGTATATTTCTGTTATCTTACTCATGTACAATGAAGAAACTTTAAACAGTTTCAATCATTCAAGAATGAATGAAAAATGCATGCTTCTACTGAAAAATCCATGACACTTCATACACATGCTGGAAGAATGATAAAATCAACTAGACAGGGCAGGAGAACATAAAACATACGAAGGCTCAAGATCTCGGTGTATTATGGCTTCTGGCTTATGTTCATGCAAATAGTTCATACCCCTGCAAGATATACATTAAAATACTGCATTTATTACAAATATTCAAATGCAAATTTTTAATTTAACAGGTAGTTATCATTTAATTTTCAACTCTTCCAAAAAACAAAATAATCAGCAGCTCATTTCCTTGTGAACCAACTGAAAGCTAGAGATGTATCCATAATATAAAAGAGCTTGACTGACCTAGCAATATCAAGTGCAAACTTTACAGCTGTTATTGGTTTTAATGCACCTTTCCGCTTCAAGTAGGCACGGAGATCCCCCTGAAGAGTTGATAGTCCATTCCAAATAGTCAGACATTACATTTACGAAAAATAAAGGGTATAGTTACCCAAGTAGAGGAGAATGAGATATCCACTAAATATTGGTACAACAAATGACTTGTGAGGTACAGATGAAATGATAATCCGAGTTTAAAGATCTAAGGAATTTCAAGTAAATAAATGACAAATGGTAGGAAAACAGGGGATATGCACGTATCAGAAATTGTACACATTCTATGCATGTATCCATGTTTATTTATATATATCCAATATCCATACATATACGTGTATGCATTTATGGCCATCATTTCATATGCCATTCACTATTCTTACTGTTTCACTAACATGAAGTGAAACCCCAAATAAAGTGAAATGAAACCCTTACATCAACATTTATCAATACTAGGTTAAAATGGCTACCTATTATTATTATTATTATTATTATTATTATTATTATTATTATTATTATTATTATCATTACTTAAATCCTTCAATGTAAAAATCTATAACTTCTGGACAGAACAGGAACATATTTGTCTGACCCGATTCAGCTCCTCTGAAGTGAGGAGATATCTAAAATGAGAAAGTGATAACCTATCCATCATCAGCTTGAATTAAAGCATTTTGTAAACATAACTGACTTTAAATCAACGGCAGATTATCCCTCACTTTTTTCACTTCACAAATCTCCTTGCTTTAGTGAGGCCAAATCCAGTATGATAAATGCAAATAACTCCTGCACTTCAACAATTAGTATAAGTCCTACTATAACTTTTTATCATATTAAATTCTTCATTATCACTTTGTTACTGACCACATTTTGCTCTGCTCACTATTATCTATGATAACCACAATCCAACTAACCAATATAATTTGATCATCAACACCATGAGCAAATTAACTGATCACAAAAGTCTTCCTTATAACCAGTGTAGGATCAAGACTAACCTGGGGTAGATATTCTGTGACAATCATCATCGGGGTGCTTTGAGTTACAGCGCCCAAAAACTGTACCACATTTGGATGCCTTATTTTCTGGAGTAATGTAAGCTCATCATGAAATGCCTTTCTGAGAAACAGTCACAAACAAAAAGAAACTCACTATGAGAATAAAAATTGAGAACCGAATAACCCATGAATGAAACAACGGATTGCATAAGTAGACCAACCCACACTTTATCATCATCAGTGAACAATTCCTCCCCAAGTGTCTTGACGGCAACCTGAGTTCCGCGCCATAAAGCAATCCGGAAAGTTCCCTAAAACATTCAAATGAATATATGCAATGCAAAATAAGCCAGAGTATATTGACTCAAGAGAATGTCAAAACAAGGAAAAGGGAGAAATCAAGTTCCAAAACATGATTGACAGCTTAGAGAAAGGAAATTTGAAGGCTTACCTTTGTTATGCAAACGCTATTAGTAAAATCAAGCTCAGAAGGATGAATCTCATACTCAGGGACTTCGCGAGCATTCTGCACATGCATGGGAGCCATCTACAAAAAGAAAAAAGAAAAAAGAAAAAGTTCACAATTGCAACATGATGTCATAAACTAACTATTTTAAAAGCTTGAACTGTTAGGCCCCTTAGAGCCGCAACCAAACATAACCATTGAAAGTGTAAAGATTTTTTATATCATCATCTAATCACAAACCGCTATGTTCATGTTTATAATAATTACCTTAATAGTCATTCTAAATTTCCAATTTATAATATCTGATTGATTAATAGTATAAAAATTATTACAGTATCAGTGCTTTGGCAACGCATATCTATTGAACACTCCAAATCAATTGAGTAAATAGTGTATGTCCCCCGACAATATAAAGGATTTTAAATCACAAATTTAAGTTTGTTGACTTTTACATTAACAACTATAAAGTCAGATGATTTTTTATTTGTTGGCGGTGTAATTTTGTTTTATTTTTTCACTTAAAGTACATATCAATTAAACGAAAATGAATAACACAAATGTTTCTACATCTAAGAATACCAAGGAAATGGAAAAAACACAGACCGGGGGTTTTGCACCGTGTTTCTCCAAAAGCTTCACAACGTCGTGATTCTTGTAGTACAACGCATCGGCCAGTGGCTGTCAAACAATGCAATTCAGAAATGAGTATGCAATCAGAGAGAAAGAGGAGAGGGCGAAATTACCGTGCTGCCCCAGCAGTCTCGGGGATCGACGTGTGCGCCTTGCCGGAGCAGCAAATCCACGACGTCGGTGCGGCCCTGGCAGGCGGCGACGTGGAGCGCGGTGCGGCCGTCAATGTCGGTGAAATTGACGTCGCTGCCTGCGTCCAAGAGCTCCTTAATCCCGTCCAGGTCGCCTTCGTTGGCGAGATACATCAGCCGGACCGCCGGGTCCAGCACCTCCGACGCGGGGGCGGCGGCGGCGCGGTCCGGCGCGAGGGAGGATTGGCGGCCGAGCGAGAAGCGAGGGTGGAGCTTCTTGTTCTCCATTGCGACGGCGGCGAGGGTTTTGGGAGAGAGAATGCGATGCGTGTGTTGATACGAAGAGAAGAGGGGATAAGAATAACAAGTTGGAGAGAAAAGAGAGAAGAATAATGAATTGATTTATATGCAGAGAGAATGTGGATCGGGTTCCTTTTATGTGTGACTGAAAGTGACTAGTTCAATCTTCACGTCACTAACTTTCTAGTTTCTACACACTCCAACGGGCCGGTCCTACCCATTCCAATCGGGAAAGCTTATCCAAAACGCGCTTCCTCCTAATATTTAGCGTCAGAGGAAGGTTGGGTAAGCACACTTTTTTTAATATATTATGTTGTAAATTAGTAATTAGTTTTTGTAGAATTGGTAAATTAATACTACACTTTTCTACGTAATTTCTCAATTATTGAAAAATCTTTCAAATTAATATTTTGATATTAGTGTGTAAGACTCTTTAAGAAGATAATTAAGGAAATGAATTGGTGATTTATTTTATTAGTTAACTTGAAACTGAAACTTCGTTATCTTTGATTTTTTTTTTTTTTTTGCTTCGTTATCTTTGAATTGGTGATATAATATTTTTTTTTGTGATTGCTTCGGATATCTACTTATTCTAATATTTTTTGATAAGTTATAAAAAAAATCTTACGTGGTTAAGTTGACTTTGTAAAGAAAGTACATTTTTTAATATCTTCTAAGTTGACTTTCTAAAAAACAATTTAACTACAACATTAAAGACTTGTTAAAACTGAACCTTACACGAAGGTTGTATAATAAAAAATAATGAATGAAAAAATTTAACTAATATATAAATTTATAATAAAAATTATGTTCATCGTATGTATATGTGCATGATTTGAGATGTAATTTCGTTGAGGAACTTCTATAATTTTTTAGTATATACTCATACATATATATGTAATGTTGGATATATATTTAGGAACTAGCATAATAATTATAGTTTAATTAGATTTATATTTTTTGTATTTAGTGATTCTTTCCTAAACATCTATTTATTATTGATTTGAAAACCACTAGTGCACTACACCCTACTAATAGATCGTCAATATTTTGAACCCGTTTTTCCTAATCGGGTCGAAACAGGAGCTCCGACACCGACGGGTCACACAGCTGAAGAGTGAAGGAAAAAGGAGAAGAATTTGAGCGGCCATGGCATGGAACCATCTTCGAAACCTGAATCGCATCTCCATACACCGCATTCTTCATCATCGTTTTCAGCCTCTCGTCAACGCTAGGTTCTTCTCCGACGCTGCTGCTTCATTGCCTCAACCGCAACCCAAACAGCCTTCGCCTCCCTCATCCTTGAAGGACAATGAACTCGCCAAGTTCGCTGCCATCTCCGATACCTGGTGAGCTTTCCATTTCGGTGTCTCTCGACTATGATTGCTCCCAAAAACCCCCAAAATGAATGAGAATTTGGCTTGTCTTTCAATTGGAGATTGTCAAATTGAAAGTTCGTTAAGTTGGTTGTTATAGACACACCAATAGTTTTGCTAGGGATGAATTTGTTCGTTATCTATTGAAATTGCTACCTTGGGCATAATTTTGCGATGTATGTGTGTTAGTCCATGACTAATCTCTCGAGACACAAATAGCCATTTTAGGGACTGACCTTTTCCAACATATGCTCTTCCATACACACAAACACTCACGTGAGAAGTGTGAGAAGAATAGCTATCTGTCAACTATACTACACCATATTAGTGTATGTGTCTTAGTTTGAGTTTATGGATAATATGTATTTGTCCTTTCCTTGATGTGAATAGGTGGGATTCTGAAGGCCCCTTTAAGCCATTGCATGCGATGAATCCTACAAGGCTTGCTTTCATCCGCTCTGCACTATGTCGACATTTTAAGTAAGAAACCTATTTCATTTAGCCCTTGTTATCTCCATTTTGAGTCTGGGGTGTTTGTTCTTGAACCGACTTTGGTAGAATGCTCTATTATCTGTACTATTTTTAATTCCTTTATTTTTTTGTGTGGAATATTTAGTGGCTGTACTGGGGTCAGATGACTACTCTATTCTACTCATTTATGCTTATGCAGCAGTTATAACTTACGAAAGCAATTGTACTCCGTATTTGTGACACACAATAAGTATAATGAAGGGAAAAAGTTATTACTGTAGATAATATTAGGCTTGTATTTTATTGTCTCTTTGGGGTTCCAATCATATAATAATTAGATTTCCCTTGTCTCAGGAAAGATCCTTATAGTGCTAAACCTCTCGAGGGACTTAAAATTGTTGATGTAGGTTGTGGAGGTGGAATTCTTTCTGAGGTATATTTTTTCTCCATTTTCTTGAGATGTTTGGAAAAGACTTTTTCCTTTTTATCTTCTGGCCTATGATAAACTTTTTTGGGGGGAAAGGGGGGAAGGAGGGTTCAGTTCAGAGGTTACTATATGTATTGACTAGAAATATAGAAATCTAAATGTGCTGACGTTTTTTTTTATATATTTTCTTTTATCATATTCCTCATGGGAATCTTTAGTATCATGATGGATTCAAAGGTGACTATATTTGTTAGCTAGAATTGTGGAAATTTGAATTCTTTCTTTGGTGCATATTCTTCTCCCTCTCCCTTGTAGAGTATTAAGATCGTTATATTCTTCTAATTGCAAATTTGTGCTTCTTTTTATTCTTTTAAACCTATGCTTCTCGTTTTTTCTTCAGCCATTAGCTCGATTGGGAGCTACTGTGACGGGTGTTGATGCTGTAGAGAAGAATATCAAGATTGCTCAACTTCATGCTGTATGCTTATTTTATAATTTGACTATTGATATTTTGCAATAACTGTTTTCAATTTGAAGTTTGTCAGTATTGTCTTCCAATTCATTAGATTACTGTAAATTGGTGGAAGTAGTTGCTACAATGGTAAATTACATCTTCACCATTAGCTGGACAACTTATTATTTCCTGGTAACAGGGTTTGGATCCAGAAACTTCAACTATTGAGTTTTGTTGCACAACAGCTGGTACATATGCAAATCTTGAAGCATTCTTGTATACATTTGTTTTACATGCTCTTTTAACATTTATAAACTATTGCTGAAATGCCCTACTTTTCCTGGTAAACACTCTTACAGTTTAGTACACAGTCTGGATAAGAAGTTCAAGGCTGACTGGCATAATTTCCTTTTAATTTTCTGAGTGGTCTTTCCATGGATTGCTCATTGCAGAATTTTTCTGGATGATTTTGTTTCAAAAGTTATGAGGTTTTGATGCATTAGCATAAAAAAAAAAAGTTCAATATTTTCACTTCCTATTGGTTTTTGTGATTAGGTTTCTTATTATCTTGTTATACTTGCAGCTTGCAGTTACTAACCATTTTATGTTATTTACCTATAGCTGCAGAAAAGTGATATTTTTGCGTTGATCTTTATTCCGTCCCACGAGGATCTTACATTAAAGAAAGTTTTTCTCTATACCTTAATGTTTTCTCATTAAATAAGGTGTCATTCTTGTACATACTAAACCACTCAAGTGGGAGAATAAGTTTTCAACTAAAAGAGGAGTTACATATTACTTTATGGCTTAAGTACCTTTTTGAACTCTATAATTTTATGAATCTTACCTTTTAGTCTCTATAATTTAAAACATTCCATTTTAGTCTCTATACACACTGTTTTTATTTTCTTTTTATCCCTATGGGTTCATAAACTTTACCTTTAGTCTCTAGTAATAGACAACAGGAAATAAAAAGAACCAAAATAGTATGTATATGGGCCAAAACAGAATATTTTAAACTATAGAGATTAAAAGGTAAAGTTCATCAAACTTTAAGGACCAAAATGGTATTTTAAATCTTGCTTTATTCTCTCTTTAGTCGGAAGAATTCTTGTTTTCACTGGTGATGTCCATCGAATTTCTTTGCTTGCAATTAGGTAGCATGTTTGTGAAAAATTAAATGCTCTTTGTACATGTCTGATGGCTTCAGTAATAGTTGAAAAAGTAGCTTGCACTCATCTAGTTTGTTTAGACTGGTTCTTTTATTTTTGGGTACTATGCTCCGTATTTTACTACTCAAACAACTCTTAAATTGTCTGATCAGAGAAGCTTGTTGAAGAAGGAAGAAAATTCGATGCCGTTATGGCCTTGGAGGTATCTTGTCTTTCACTCCTTCCCCCCATCCGTCTCTCTTGTTGTGTGCTTGGATTGGGAGTGCATAAATGTTGGTGGATATATAAAGATATGACCTGTGTATAATATGTAGTATAAAATCTTTGATAGTAGAACTCAAGTGGAGTTGAAGGGTTCACTTGCTTTGAATATTGAGCAGGTGATTGAGCACGTGGCAGATCCTGCAGAGTTCTGCAAATCTCTGGCAGCATTAACAATTGCAGACGGAGCCACTGTGATATCGACAATCAATCGTTCTATGAGAGCCTACGCAACTGCAATTGTTGCTGCGGAATACATTCTCCACTGGGTAGTATTCTGAACTCCATTCAGCACTTACTCTATCCTACATCCTTTGGTATTTCAATTGACACATTCATTATATATATTGGCAGCTTCCCAGAGGCACACATCAATGGTCCAGTTTTCTCACTCCAGAAGAGCTCGTCCTCATCCTGCAACGCGCCGGTATCAATGTACGAGAAATAAATGCATTCATTAACAACATATTCAATTTCATTAGTTACAGCATGACGTTTGATTTTGGTTGCATAGGTGGAGGAGATGGCAGGATTCGTGTACAACCCGGTGACAGGACGGTGGTCTTTGTCAGATGATATCAGCGTAAATTTCATCGCCTTCGGTACCAAATCGAGTAACAACGAATAAGATACACGATAAAATACGCACTACTACGATTTATAGTTTTTAGTATTGAAATTTGTAATGAATGGTGGAGGGAGGAGTGAATTGCATGATGCAAGACTTGATGTAGAGGATTGCGATGCTGTCGTCAAAGTGCAAGAGGCCAACAAGTTAGGTATTGTAAGAGGAATGCCTTCCCT